ATCAATTGTTGTAGACGACGATGGTTAGCAACCGATTCAACCTGCGAGATATATTCGAGCCCATTTCGAGCTTAAATTGATCTATTCTTGCCGACTTGGGTCCATGTGAATCTTTTTTTTTTTTTTAACGCGTTTGACTTAGTGTTCAAAATTTTTATGCCCATTGGAGCTTTTAGGGCTAATTTTGATAACTTCTAAGAGTTTGGAGCAAAATTTATTAATTGTTTTTTTAGCAGTAAGAATTTATAATATTTTGTTATATTTTCAATATCTGACATGCCCAATATAGTAAGCAAGAGCCATGAATGATCCACTTAATTATATTTATATATATGCGCAAAGATGATTGAAGATAGTTTATTTAATTTAAGGCCTTGAAGGGGGGAAGTTATTACATGCGGAGCCCGCATTTCATCCAGACTCCAATCAAGTAGAGCCACGTGGCTTTTTTTAAGCCTACGTGGCTGCACCTGATTGGAGTCTAGATAAAAGGCTGCGTCTGGACTCCGTATATAATAATCTTTTCTTAAAGTGAGCTCTATGTTCAGATCTAGAAGTGGTTCCACCTCATAATTTTTTAAAGAAAATCTTCTGCCTAAAAACTATGAAGATTAAATTTGTTTTCAAACAACATAGATCTTGATATTTGAAAATAACTAAAACATCCATCTAGTCAAGCAAGAGGATCTTGATACAATATTTGAATTAAAAATTTTTAAAACTAAATTCAAGATGATCTAAACTCTGAGTTTAATAAACTCCATGAGACTCAAAACACATTGATTTAAGTCTAAATGAATATAAATCAAGCACTTAAAAGTATAGTAAAAAACTTCAAGTTATTGTTTGACGTATCAAAGGATCTCTAAATATTATGTGCATTTGGTAAAATATTCGTCTTGAAGAGAGGAATATAGTGAGCCTAAAATTTCTCAATTTCAATGTCACTAAAGCAATTAGATGCCTAAAAATAGTATAATCAGATATATACTAATCGATTGTGGATTTTGACTAAAAAATAAAAAATAAAAAATGTAACTCTGAAAATTTATAAATATCTCCCATTATTCATATGAAAGGGATAGGACATCTGGAGTTCGAGAGAGTTTTGCTAGATGATAATCAAGATTGATAATCGTTGCACCTAAACACCATTGCTCATGCACTATCGCTTGGCTAACATCGCTCGACCACAATTATCTGACTATTGTTGCCCTACCACTGTTGCACATTTACCATAGCTTGATTACCATCTATAGACTGCCATCAAACTAAAAGTAGAACATGCCATCTCCAGCAACGTTGAATCATGCTGTATAAACTAGCCATTACACATAACATCGCTAAGAAGGTTGACATGACTATTGACACACACCAACACCAATAAATTAATGAACATCGTCAACACCAATGCCGACTCACATCATCACTAATACGACTTACATCTTCGTACTATCAACATCAACTCTGAATGCCTTCCATCATCAAGGCTAATGCATTTTATTGACAACAACGTCGACACATGCCATCAACCAGCATAGACACACATCATCTCTAATAAAGTTAACGCACATAATTGACACCAACATCTACGCACGACATTGCCAATAAGGCTAACGCCTATTGAAATACTCTTATATTTGCGGTGACCAACAAAGTTAATGCATGTCGTCAACACTAATCTCAACATCATCATCTACAATAGTCGATGACTTTTGTCTAGGTCAACGCGGACGGTCATTGCCGCCAACTAAGTCATCATTTGCCTTCGCTACTAAACCAACACCTAACTCATACTAGACTTCTTCTAACCACTCTTAATTTATTTTATTTAGGTTTACCAAATCTTTGCAATAAATTTTATGTCTCTCTAACGCCAGATATTGTAATTAATCGTGACAAATATAATTTTTATTTTCTGAAGTCAATAAGTTGAGATATTCAGAGTTTGCAAAAAAAAGATGTAATTTCGCAAATTTAAAAATTGAAGGGGTAAAAGGAAAAAACTGCTTGGGTCATCATTTCGCTTTCACCCACACTCCAGCAACCCCTCTTGTTATCGCGCCGGCCGATTAATCAATCCAAATCTGGATACAGAATTCCCATACTACCCTCAACATGTTTGATAAATTACCCAGCTGCCGTGGCCTCCCTGGTTACAAATTGTCAAATTCCCGGAAAAAACGACAACCATGGGCGATTAGCTTACGAAAGCCAAAAGAAAGTCTATAAATTTGTACAAGTTTTTGCCTGTGGACCTTAAGCGTTTCAAAAAGCTGCTTCCTTTAGGTCAAAACCACAGAGGGAAGCGAGGTTTTTCGCTTTTTAAAGCACATATTCTCTCTCTAGCCTCTAATGGCGGCTCGGAGATAGAGAGTTAGGAGGGCATTTTGCTTCTGAACCGGCTTCACGGCTTTAGATCCCATCCAGTTTCTTTTTCTCCTCTTTCGCTGTACCCTCCTCCTTGCGCGCGTTAGACCCATCTTATCTTGTTAAGAACAGAGAGGATCGTGAACCCAGCCGCCTGGATCTGGGAAACCCTAGAGGCGAGCGCTCGGTAGGGGAAAATAGGGGGTATGTGGAGAAAAGCGAAGGTTGCGCTAGGGCTGAACCTGTGCGTATTCGAGCCGAGGACTAGGGATGAGGAGGAGAACCTGCGGTCGGGAACTGGGAGGACGTCGGACGCATCCGCTGTAATGGCTGGCGCTTCCATGGCGTCTTCCGGCAGTGGTTCAGACCAAGGATTTCTCTCGCTGATGCCGATTGCCTCGACCCCAGCCTCCTCCTGTCTCCGGTTGTCCAAGTCTGGGAGCAGATCATACAAGGTTAGATTTTTTTTTTGTTTGTTAAATGTGAGGTTGTTGCTGATCTACCGGTCTCTTTTTTGGGGTTGATATTTAGAGAAATTCCAGCTAATTTATATGCTGGATTTTGTCCTTTAGTTTTCACCACCGGAGGCATGTGATCTGGTTTCAGTACTTTTGACTTCTCTCTCTCTCTCTCTCTCTCTCTCTCTCTCTCTCTCTCTCTCTCTCTCTCAAGTCGAGAATGGCGATCACCTAAGTTAGCCTAAATCGGACCGACGGCGGGAACAAAACTCCCGGCCACTCGGCCACTGCTTTAATGGCCTCTTATTATGTTTCCATTTCCTTTTGTTTGGTCCTCATGGCCTTCTGGTAGGGAGATAGCCTGTGGCTCTTACTTTGTGAGTCGCAATCGACTAGTATATGAAAGGAGTGCATCATCTTTCTTTAATTTCTCCGCTGTCCTTACTGTAAGTGGATATCACTTCTTTGATTGGCAAAAATGCTTTTCAACCTGCAGGGTTTGCTTTTTGCGTTTTGGGAATTTTAGTCTTTTCTTCATAGTTTCTCTTTATTATTATTTGATTTGCATTAAGTTTGGTTGAAAACTTCGCCAAATTCTCTCTGTGATCTGTCAACTTATTGCTCTATGGAAGTTAAGAGAATTCAATCGCTGAATCTTCTCCCAAAAAAAAAAAAACACAATTGTTGAATGTACTTTTTGGTCAGTGTGAAGTGAAAATGTTGCCTAAACCCAGAATTGATGATTCTATGTGAAGTTAATAGATAAGTGTGCAGAAATTGATTGGTGATCCTATTTAAGCAACTATTTCTTTTGCATTCTATTATGATTTGGTGATTTGGGGATGGGGGAGGCCACCCCAATTTTCATCGCTTATCATTGAAGTTGCAAGTTTTGAACTTTAAGGATGGACACTGAGGCTTGGTTTGGGATGGCTTTTTTATTACTTATTAAAGCAGCTTTCTAGTATAAAAAGCTTAAAGAAGCATGAAGAAAGCCGTCCCAAACGAAATTTGAACTATTGTAGAGTAGATTTAAAATGGGCATTTAACTGATGGTACTTTGTTTGCGTTTGCTTGCCTTTGTTAGATTTTATCAGTAATATGGTTGTGCAATTATTATTCTTTTTTTCATCTTTGATCCAAAACTCTTGTTTTAGAGCTGCGTTAATAGAGTGCAAAGCTGCCAATGATTTCTGAGAATTCCTACTGGCCATGAGCTCCATAATTTTTTGGACTATTTGAATTTTCTGCCACCTGCTTCTTAGTAGAAATAGGTGATCTTCCTAAGAGCATACTGTGGCCTTTAAAGATCTTATTTCCAATGTTTTGCAAAAATGTTTTTAAGTTGAAAGTCCTGGTATGTAATTTTGATTGAGACAAATGATTTCCAGTCTTTGCTTTATATTGTGGAAGAAAAATGTTCTTTGTATCCATGTTGTCAACAAACTTTCAATGCTATATAATGTGAAAATATAGGTATTAGATTTGACTTGTGTTAAGAAAGATAGAGGTAGACTTAAAAAGACTTGGTTAGAAAATATCAGAAATGATCTTTCTTTATTATATTTAAATGAGAATTTGATTTTTAACATGACACAATGGAGAAAAAGGATTCATGTAGCCGACCCCACGTAGTGGGCCGAAAGCTTGCTGTTGTTGTTGTTGTTATATGATGTTGGCCCGTTACATTCTTGATCAGCAGCTCTTCTTGTATACTCCATTACATGCATAAAGGTTTGGAAAAGGAGTTGACTTTTTACATGCGGGAAGCATCGCTCATTAAAAATCATTGAAATAATGATTTCAATATGTATTTATGTTTTAAATATCAGTTATTCAAAGCTTCAATATATGAGTTTAAGATGTTAAGCCTAGTAGTTCTTACTATTTACTGTTTACTTTCACAATTATCATCAAGAAAATTAAGATTATTAGCAATGCCGTCTGGATTCATTGGCATCTTTGGCCTTGCTCTTATCTATCTCCCCAAGTAAAAGTTTTTATCATGCCACTAAGGCTTTGTTTGGGACGGCTTTGTTACTGCTTCTTAAAGGAGCTTTGTAGTACAAAAATTAAAAAATTTATATTAAAAAGCTGTTTTAAAAAATAATAAGAAAGCCGTCCCATATGAAGCTTAAGTTTTATTAGTAATTGGTGTTTATTATAGTATCTGAGTGGGGTTTTAAGGTTTTCCTTGTTGTCCGCTTTCATTATCCAGCTTGTGTGTTTCTAAGCTTGTGCTGTGAGGCACAACGTCAGAGTGTTTTTGGGTTTTTAATTCAAACCTCTATGGGTTTATGGGGCACATAAGATTTAGAGGTATTCATTTGCTGCAACTTATTAAAGCAAGATTTTATGTTAAGTAGATCAAAATTTTAAACAGTTTTGGGTAAATTTTGATCCCCCAAGAACTGAAATGCAACTCGATAAATAAAATTTAACCAGTATTAAAATTCTCCCCCCTTTCTTTTTGTCTGGTAACCTGAGAATAGCTAGTGTTGTTTTATGTATAATTTCTGAATAAATTGGATTATGCTTGATTTCATCCTTGTCTTTGTAATTACTCACTGCCTAGTTTTTGGATTTTATTTTTTGAACTTTCAATTGAAAAGATACTTCTTTTATAACTTCAACGTTCTCATAACTACTATTCATGCAGAAAACCTGTGCTATATGCTTGGAGAGCATGAAAGCAGGCCATGGTGCCCTCTTTACTGGAGAATGTTCACACGCCTTTCACTTCAACTGTATTGCTTCCAATGTCAAACATGGCAATTGTGTGTGCCCTATTTGCAGGGCTAAATGGAAGGAGATCCCTTTCTTAGGTCCTACTTACTCTGATCTTCCTCATGTAAGAGCTAGAGTAAATCCGGCGAACTGGCCACAAGATGATAGTACAATAACGCTTTTACGGCGGCTTCCTCGTACAGATTTATCCAACCGGCAAAATCCGCTGGCTTCTCTTTTAAACATCTCTGAACCAAATGTTTATGATGATGATGAGCCTATAGGGTTTCTTACTGAAGCTCCTGAGCATGGATTGACCAGTACAATTGATGTTAAAGCATACCCCGAATATTCTGCCATTCCAAAGATGGCTTCTGAAGAATCTTTTTCTATATTGATCCACCTAAAGGCCCCTTGCGCTGTTGCAAGTCCCATTGCTTGTGGGAATCAGAATGCGAGTCTAACCACACATCAACCTTCTCGGGCACCTATTGATCTGGTCACAGTGCTTGATATCAGTGGAAGCATGGCTGGCACAAAGCTTGCATTGCTGAAGCGGGCTATGGGATTTGTTATCCAGAATCTTGGCTCTTCCGATCGACTCTCGGTTGTTGCTTTCTCTTCTACCGCACGACGTCTTTTGCCTCTTCGCCGTATGACTGAGTCTGGCAGGCAGCTTGTATTGCAGGCTGTAAATTCCCTGGTTTCGAGTGGTGGCACCAACATCGCTGATGGACTCAGGAAAGGCGCCAAAGTGATCGAAGAACGAAAGGAGAAAAACTCAGTTTGCAGCATTATACTCCTCTCTGATGGGCAAGACACCTACACCGTATCCTCGAGCGGCAATGGAGTCAACCGTCCTATTCCGGACTACCAATCTCTGGTCCCATCTTCCATCCGTTGCAATGCCGGCCATCAAATTCCAGTTCATGCTTTTGGTTTTGGCGCAGACCATGATTCTTTCTCCATGCATTCTATCTCAGAGATTTCAGGCGGGACCTTTTCGTTCATAGAGTCCGAGTGCGCAATTCAGGACGCCTTTGCACAGTGCATTGGTGGCCTCCTTAGTGTTGTGGTACAAGAATTGATTGTTCAAGTTGAGTGCCTACACCCTGGCATCCACCTTGCTCCGATAAGATCAGGTAGTTATGCCAATCAAGTTGTTGATGGAATGAAGGGTTCTATCAGTGTTGGAGATCTGTATGCAGATGAAGAAAGAGACTTTCTTGTTTCTGTAAACGTCCCACCAGTGACTGATGAAGAGATTGTTCTACTCAAAGTTGGTTGCTCCTACAGAGATCCGTTATCAAAAGAAGTGGTGACTTTGAACAGTAAAGATGTGATAATTCAAAGGCCAGAAGCAGTATCAGAAAGAGTTATGTCCATCGAAGTAGACCGGGAGAGGAATCGAATCTGCGCGGCAGAGACCATTGCTGAAGCAAGGGCGGCAGCGGAGCGAGGCGCTCTTTCTGAAGCAGTATTGATTCTTGAGGCTCGCCGGGTGATTCTCTCGGAGTCCATGGCAGGAAAGTCTGGTGATCAGCTATGTGCTGCCCTGAATGCTGAACTGAGAGAGATGCAGGAGAGGATGGAAAGCAGGCAGAGGTATGAAGAATCTGGAAGAGCTTATGTGCTTTCAGGACTGAGCTCTCATTCATGGCAGAGGGCAACTGCGCGGGGGAACTCAACAGATAGTTCCAGCCTCCTCCATTCTTACCAGACACCATCAATGGTTGACATGCTTCATCGCTCACAAACTTTATGTCCATCTCCAAGGCATTCAAGGCCAACCATCAGGCCTGCAAGGTCCTTTCCCTCCCGTCCAGATCCAAGGTAATTTCAGCATTGTAGATCTGCAAACATTCCACTGCTCCTTTTTTGTTTTTTTGTTTTGGTTTTTTCTGTTCTTCCTTGCCTCTCTTGAGTATTGAGAATTGAGATAGTGGGAAGGGAATATTGGATAAAAAAGGGTAAAGGGAAGGGAAAGAACTCAACGGTCTTACATGGTGGGGTATACTCCTGTCTTGTAAATGAATAAAGTTAGCTATTGTGTGGTGGGAAAATGGAGAATGTGAAGGTGCTAAGGGAGGAGAAAGAGTGGTGAAGGAATGGTTAAGGTTGGTTAAGGGGTGATTTGTTCTTCGTTTTTATGCTTTAATTGATGTGCATAGAAAAGCTTTTTCCCTTAGGAGGAGCATTTGGTTTTGGTTGTAATCTGTGGCATATTTGGGTTTTGTATTGTTCTCATACTTTCTGTTATCTCTATATCAGTTTTCCCTTAGGAGGAGCATTGGTTGATGGTTGTAATCTGTTAATTAGATTTTTTTTTTTATGAGAAAGCTCCTTTAGAAAGAGAAATTATTCTGTGCGGACGTTGAATGTAGTTCAACATCCGGAGACTAATAAGAATGAGCCACGCCAGCAATACTGAGTAGTATCGAGCCGCATCACCGATGTGGATGATTCTAGTTGGTCTCTGGAAGGCGTTCGGCATTAGCACATAATAATTTCTTCTTTAGAAAACACAAAAAAAGGTTGGAATTTATCTTGAAATAGATTTGGTTGTAAAAGAATTATTTTTTGTGGAATAAATTAAACGAAAAAATAAAAAAGAAAATACTAAAAAGTTGCCGAAATTTATCTTGGATGTTTTTTTTTTTTTGTAAAAATTGCTATAAGTTTGTAATTTATTTCATTCAAAATTAAAAAAAAATTCAAGAATTTGCATTTGCTTTTTTTTAATTGTTTTTAAAAAGTAATATTCAATTAAAAAAAGAAAACTGGTTTGGTAGTTATATTTTAATTGTTTTGGTTTTTATAGATTTTTTTTTGTGATTTTGAATATTTTGGAAATATAGTTTTGCGAAATTTTCAATCAAGTAGAATGCATGGACTAATCATTCTGATCATTAGTATCTAAAATTTTATTAATCTATGATGCTAGGAATTATGTATGAAATAATTAATTAATTTAGTAATTAGGTAAGTTAGCTTTCATGAACAATTTAATAAGGCTAGTTAGATTGTTAATTAAATAACTAATTACTATTGATAAGAGTTATTGTTCAATAAAAATAGATTTGGGCCTATATAATAAATTAGATAGAATAATTGATAATTAATTTTACTATTTAATGAAAAAGATTTAAATTTGCATTTACTTGTTATTTACTTATCATAATTAATTATGAGATATCAATATATGTTTGGTCGTCCCTTAAAAGTAGTCAACTCAACTTCTGTCGAGTCTAGGCCATCTGTGGAGCGGGTCCTTGTGCAGCTAGACATTACAAAGGAGTTTCCTCATAAAATTTGGCTTGGTTCGGAGAATTCTGGGTATGTTCAATTAGAGGATTTGTCTGCTTACTGGGTGTTGTGCAAGTGACTTGGTCACTCTAAGGGTGAGTGTGGTAGTTCTCCTGCCACTTTGAATGTTCCTTAATCTCGTGTGAATGTGGTTTTGCCTGTTGCTAATGTGAAAACTGATGCTGTTGTTAATTCGTCGTTGGTTGTTAACAAGAAGCGGATTGTGGAGGGTCCTTGTGACCTTCTTGTTTCTGATAATGTGGTTGGTGCTATTCCTTTTGCATCTGATTCCCATTTTAATGAATGTTCTGCCTGTGTCCAATGATAATGTTATTGAGTCTATTTCTGAGAGGGGGGGAATGTAGTTATCCCTGACCCAGTTATGGAAAACGGTAGGGCTGTTTCTGGTGAATGTAAGGAATCTGGCAATTTAGTTAATGGGGGCTTGATTTCCTTAACTGAGGGTGTCCCTCCCTCCTCTCTCCCTTCTCATGCTGTTGGTGAGGGAGATGATGCTCTTTTTTATGCGGTTTTGCCTGTGTCTGAGCCTGCTATTTCGTTGGGTGACCCTGCTGTTGTGAGGGGAGGGGATGTTTCTCCCTTATCTAATGCTGGCGTGGAGTCTTCTGAGGCTCTTGTTATAGGCGATGTTGTTAGATGTGAGGTTATTCCTAATGCTTTTGTGGATGTGCCAGTGAACTTATCGAGCCCCAAGCGTTAGTGTATCATGTGGGAGATAATTCTGGGGTGGATGTGAGGGTTCATCTTGATTGGCTTTACTGTTTGTCTGATTTTGAATCTGATTCTTCTTCGGAGTATTGTGGAGGTTTTAATCCTGGACATGATTTAAATTGGTTCGTGACTGCCCGGTTGGCTCTGTTGGATCTCGTGGGAGGGTAGACGGGGTATGTAGTTTTCTTGGTTTTTTTGGCCCTCTTCTCTGGCTGGTTTTTTTGGTGATTCATTCGAGTTTTGTTGGTTGTCGATTCGCTGGGCTATGATGTGGTTGGAGCTCGTTTCTTCGTCGTCATGGCTAATGACAACCTTTGGTGTTCGTCTCTTGCTCGGGTGGCTTGGCTTGATTTTGTCGCATTTATCTTCACCAAATTGGAGGATTTGTGCTTGACTTCGAGGAAGATGGGAGCCTCGGCCAATAACTGAGCCATTCAATTTGAGTTCTTATTATTTTTTTTCTCTTATTTTCTGTCACTAAGAAAAAAAAAAGAATCAATATATGAAATGGCTGAATTAATAGCTAATAGAGATGATTTAAATTAAGTATGATTATAATTTTAAAAATTGTTATTTAATTTGCATTATTTTAAATCTAACTCTATATCATATCTACTTATTATTCATCAACTTTGATCAGAGGTAATTTATATATATATATATATTATTAATTCATATTTAAACTTTAATAAAATAAGTAGATTTGACTTCATTTTTTCTTTGATCATAAAAATTAGTGTTTTTTATCATCATTATTTATTTTTATTATTCTTTTATTATTTTTATTGGATAATATGCCTTTAAACTTACATTGGACATTGATCAACAAACATTTAGGCTTTGTTTGTGATAGTTCTTTTAGAAAGTAGTAAGAAAGTTGTCTCAAATGAAGTCTTAATTTTACTTTGAGCCTTTAAACCATTGATTTCAAAAATAGACAAAGCTATAGAGGGCTAAGGTTTTGTTTGAGACAGTTTTTTTAATTATTTTGCTTTTTCATATAGTTACCATGATTTATGTTTGACTGTTATTTTTTTGTTGCTTTCAAAATATTTTTATACTAAGAAGTTGCTTTCTATAACATTTTTTTTAAATTATTTTTTATACAATAATTTTACGAATTAGTAAAAAAAATCGTCCCAAATGAAGCCTAAGACATTGTTGCTTGTGATAAAATTTGATACTAGCAATCACCTTTCGGGTTCTTTCATGCAAATTTAAGGGCCTCCCTCCAAGTTGAGAGAAATTATTATCGTCCGGAGACAAATGGGAACGTGCCATATCATCCGGTACACGGTAAAAAAGTGGCGCAGCTCGCTCTCATTCATCTCCGGACACCGTTCATTGACCACGCAAAATAATTTCTCCCAAGTTGAAGACCTGGTTTCTCGCATTTCAAGTACATCAATTGTAATATATTGTTTTAGTTTTTTATCCATTTATTTCAGCGCCTAGTTTAATAATAGGGCATCTCCAACCAAAAAACTTATTTTACACTCCTGATACGTCACCAAAAAAGTCTTAATCTTGCACGAATTTTGATGCAAATATAAATTGAAAACTTCTTGAATAAAAATAAGGACCATCTGATCTCCAACTTCAATAAGCTTATAATCAAATTGAATATCTCAAGAAGACGAACCCAACGACATCAAATTTGATTCAATCCGAACCCAAAGGAGCCCAAATCAAATATCTAAAGCCTATTTAGGAGTTTCAAAACTTCATAATGCTTCTTAAAGCAGCTTTCGCTCGTAATTTTTCATTTGACCAATACTTTATAACATATTTGTTGAATAATGATGTATTTTAAATATAAATAATGAATTAAACTTAGTTAGAAGCTCTAAGCTAATTTATTTTTTTAACTCATATTGTAAATAAATTTTATGTGGCAAGTTTTAAATTACATATTACTCAACAACTTCAATTTTATTGAATAAGTAATTCATATAAATTATTTGTTATTTGGTACTTCCATTATATGCATTTAAAACTATTATTCGATTTAAGAATCATATCATCTTTAGAATTATTCTTCAATTTTTTTAATTTTATCATTAAGATGAATTTTTTTTTAAAAAAAAAAATATTAGTATTGATTAACTTATAAGATAAATCTATTTTTTTATAAATAATATAATTAATAGTTTTCTATATTGAAAAGTTTTTATTAATTTTTAAAATCTTGTCGAACTGCGTGTGACGAACGTGTATTTAAACAAGTATATTATATATTATAAATTTAAAATTTAGGTAAGAAAATATTTCAAATTTGTTACTTTTCTATTTTATAAAAAATGACCTCACAATTGTGATTTTATTTGCAAAATTATTATAAATAAATGCATTTTCGTCAATCTTTATGTCAAAAATGAGTATTATATTATGATTGTAGTTTTATGTAAGAATATTATATTATGATGTAGTTTTATGTAATATAAATTTCATATAAAAACTGAAAAAAAATTTATCTCAAAATTGTGATAAATGCACTTATCATAACTGAAAATAAAATTAATCAATTACATAATTTATATGATTAATATTATATCAGCATAAAAGGTAGATTTCGAAATAAAAAGAATTGCAAATTGAAAGAGGTTTTCATTTATTTATTTACGCAAATCAAACATTCAAACCAATTTCTGCCACACGTAACTCCACTTAGTATTGAGTCCGTGTGAAAAATATCAGCGGGAGCAGCAATGGCTACACCTTTCTTGTTTGTTTAGGGTTTTCTATTTTATATTATTGCTCTCTTGGTTGACTTATGCTTTATTCGGGACGGTTTTTTTGTTGTTTTTTTAAGTTTTTTTAAAATAAATTTTTTAACTTTTATACTTGAAAATTGTTTTAAGAAACAATAAGAAAGCAGTTCCAAACAAAGCCTACATTGCCCGATGAAAGCCCTCAACTAAGGCTTCATTTGTGATAACTTTCTTATTGCTTTTTGAAAGAACTTTCTCATACAAAGATTTCTTAAAAGCAGTGAAAAAACATCAAACTTCAATTGGGACAGCTTTTTAGTTGTTTCTTAAAACAATTTTTTAGTTCAAAAATTAAAAATTTATACTAAAAAACTGATTTAAGAATCAACAAAAAAGTCTTACCGAACGAAGCTTTAAGCTATCTCAAACGAAGCTTAAGAGCGCATACGAGTTGAGTTGAGCTTGAGCTATCTCCAATTCGAGCTTGAGTTTGATAAATTAATCAAGTTTAAGACGGCTTCCCTACTGCTTCTTAAAATAGCTTTTTAGTACAAAAATTTTAAGACCATTTTAACACAATTTGTATAATGTTATTCTAATATAAAATTTCCATCAAATATACTTAAATTAATAATTTTTTAAACAAGTCAACTCAAGAGCTACAAATCGAGTCTATGATAGCTGTATCATAGCTCATTGGCTCATCAAATTTGACTCAACGAGCTATTTAACAAGTCGAGCTCGAGCCATATGATCAACAAGCTCAACTTTTTTTTTTTTTTTTTAAATTTTTTTTGAGACATTTAGGCCATTTAAGGCAAACTCACACACACAACGCATACACATAGACTCGAACCCTAAACCTCTTAGTTGGAAGCCTAAGCTCTCAACCAATAGGCCAAGAAGAGTTGCGTAACAAGCTCAACTTTTTCTCACACGTAAAAATGCCATAAACCCAACTTATTAGGCAGGGTGAGGCAAAACTTTTCTTGCTACTAAAAAAATAATACAGAAATTAGGCAAGCAGGCATTTCACTGAAACCTTCTCCTTATCTTTGGCTTGTCTTCTTCTCCTTCTCCTTCATATTTTTCCTTCACTGTTGGTCAAAAAACTATATTAGGGGAGCTTCCACCGGAGAAGAGAGAGAGAGAGAGAGAGAGAGAGATTTGATTATTTTGATAGCGATATAATAATATGAAGGTCAAAGTTATCATCTTGCAGTGATTGCATATAAATGTGCTGAAAAAGGCTTCGCCTTTATTAAAATGAGAGTTGGAAATCTGAAGAGAATTGAGAAGTGCAGAGATCCTTCAATGGCGGAGGAGGTGGTGGCCCTGTGATTAATTGAAGCTTGATTTGGTGTCATTTTGCCTATGGGCTCTATGCTCCTAATTTAAATGAAAGTGATTGATTGACTGAATCGCAAGCATTTCTTCTGTATCTTGAGATGTGGGATTCTTCTACAGGTTTTGGAGGTATGGGGATTGGAGATTTTTTTGTTTTATTTCAAGAGTTTTGTTCTCTTCTTCTTTGGCGTTTTGAGCTTATTTTTAGGCTTATTTTTTGTTATCTTTTTGGGCATTGGATGGATTCTTTTAAGTAGGTCGCTTTACTTGTGGCTCAGTGGTTGAAAAAATTATTATGTGCGATGTTCGAATGTGTTCAGAGGTCAATTTGGAAGCGCAACATCACTCAATGTATTAGATGATGTGATGCTTTCAAATTGACCTCCAGACACATTCAAACACCACACAGAATAATCTCTCCGATGGTTGGGGAGTTTCGACTCGATCCATCATCCATGTTCTGAGTGTTATTATTGATTTGTGTATTTGTATTATGATTAAGATTTCGTTTGGGAAAGCTTTCTTTTTTAACTTTTAAAGCAGTTTTTTAATATAAAAATATTTTGAACTAAATATTTTTATGCTGAAAAATTATCTTAGAAAGTACTAAGAAAGCTATTAATTTCCAACTAAATGGTCATCCTTAATGCTTTGTTTTGCATATTACAACCCTAATTTTTGGTTAACCACTATTTTTTGCTGTTTTTAAAAGATTTTTTAACTAGAAACTTGCTTTCTAAAGTGATTTTTAAAAGTTACTAATTTAGGCTTCGTTTGGGATGGCTTTCTTACAGCTTCTTAAAGCTGCTTTCTAGTATAAAAATTAAAATTTTTATACTAAAAAATTGTTTTAAGAAGCAGTAAAAAAATCGTCTCAAACAAAGCCTTAATTTTCAACTTCAACGAGAATTGAACGTTCCTATGAATAATGAAAAAAAAAATAAAATAAAAAACAGAAGAAAATAGCATCCAACTTCTAACAAGAAAGGCCACATGGTCAGAAATATGTTTTCTTACAAGAAAATATATGATGCATTATATAAAATTTCATAAAAAATAGTTCTCATAATATTTTGTTCTTTTGCTATAAATTTCACAATAAATAACATCAAATTATTTGTATTAAATTTTTTAATTTAAGAATTTTTTTAACTAAAAAGATGCTTTGAAAGCAGTAAGAAAGCCATCCCAAATGAATATTCGTACTTGGGACGGCTTTTTTATTGCTTCTAAAAATAGTTTTCTATAACTCTGCTTTAAGAACCAGTAAAAAAATCGTCCCAAATAAAATCTAAGACTTCTATTGGATCACTTTCATATTATTTTTTAAAGTAAATTTTTAATAAAAAATTTAAATTTTTTATTAAAAATTTACTTTAAAAAATAATATTAAAATCGTCTCAAATGAAGCCTATTAAACCTATTAATTATTCTAAAAAAACTTAATAATCTTCTAACTTCCTTCTCCTCGCACCATTGTCTTCCATCTTCTCAACGACAGAGAGAAATGCCACAGCTATAAGCATCGGAAAAAGCCGTTGAATTTATTAAAAAACCATTACCAGCTCATCACGTAAATATTTTACAGACACTATTTCTGAAAATTTTGAATTTTGTTTAGCTTCCCTTTGTTTATTTTCCAATTAAGAAGGCGCAGATCCCAAATGGTTCCCTCTTCCCCAATTTTTCGGCTTGAAATCTGTACTGAAAGGATATCAATCGAAGAAAGAAGAATGATAATGTGCGAAGATACTGTAATGGCCTTCTTCTTTACTTAAATTTCTTACATTCCAAGTGAACTCCACTGCTTTCATTGCTCTTCCCGATTTAATTAAAAAATATATATATGAACTCATTACTTCCGTATTCTATATATTTCACTATCAAAATCCCTTTACACATTGGCCTTCAGCAGACGCAGTTTCCTCTTCTTTTTCTCTTGCTGTTTGACCTCTTCATTGGATTTTAGCTAAGAGCTCTGTAGAGAGTAAGCTTTCAGTTCATCTTTCGCTTCCATTACTGCTTTTTCCTTTATTTGCTCCTTATACCTCCCTTTCTGAACAGGTTTTCTTTTTGCAAAGATTATTTGAGGATACTTTACGTAGCAGCAAGTGGAGGGATTTAAAGCAAACTAGCAAAAATTTGCTGACTGGTGAGTTTTACAGTAGTAAAATTTCTTTGAAGAGTTCACCAACATTCATATATGGGGTTCTGTTCTCATTTTAACTGAAGCTGTCTACATTCTTTTTTTTACTCTTCCAGATTTAGTAAAGCCTCTAAATTTAAATTTATAAAAATCTTAAGAGAATTAACATTTTGTTTAACATGACAAATGTTAAATCTTATTAAATCTTGAGAACTAACAATAACGTTTATTTATTGAATCTATGTATCTAGCTTTAGCAGATGATAGTCATTAAAAGAGAAACATAAAATTAAGTGTTGTAGAGATGAAGATGCTCAGATGGATGAGTGGCTTTATACTCAGAGATAGAGTGCGAAACGAGTATATATGTTAAAAGGTTGGAGTAGCTCCAGTGGTGGATAAAATTAGTGAGAGTCGGTTTAGATGGTTTGATCACATAAAACGTCGGCTTTCTTATGATCATGTTTGGAGAGTAGTTGTATTATATTCAGCCTATGTTAAGAAAGGTAGAAGTAAACCTAAAAAGTCTTGATTAGAAAGTACTAAAAATGACTTTTTTTATTATATTTAAATGATAATTTGACTATTAATATGACACAATGGAGAAAAATAATTCAAGTTGCCAACCCCACATAGTGAGATAAAGGCTTATTGTTGTTGTTGTTATTTGAATTTGTGTATTTTGGAATGCCACATTCAAATCGTTGGTAATTTAATTGAAGCGATAAATAAAGGTTAGAATTTTGCTATGAATTTGATATTTGAGTGATAAATTAAAAAATGAATATAGTAATGTGTTAGTTTTATCAATAGCCAATATTCAAGTGTTATGTATGCAATTGCTCCTTTAAGATTTACGAGGAGAGAAATACTTAAATCTATTTAATACTGTGAATGGTGGGTTTTAGTAACTCATTAATTCAATCACTAACAAGCATGAAATGGTATTGATCAACACAGTAGGATTAAAGTTTCCAAAATGTTGTTTGGCACTCAGTTGTTTTATTTTATGTTTTTCTTATCTTTTGTTCTTTGTGATTCATTCTTGAACAGCTCTGTGTTACTGTATATAGGCCTTTAATCAAAAGCATCAAAGACTTTTGTAAAGATTTATTGACTTGGCAAGAACTATTTCATCAAACAGAAACCTTTCTTCTGAAGCTGGAGTTTGGAAAATGGGCTTAGTTCGAAATCCTAGTTTAAGAAGTGAGGAGTACTTGGATGGTATAATTACAGATTATGTTAATGGAAAAGGAAGTAAGATTAGAGCAGCCAAGCGCTCTACTTCACGCCTTGTTACTATTCTCACTTGTCTTCAACTTGCATTTGCAATCTATGCGACTTTCCTACTATATTACATGAGCCCGGCTATTGATCTGAGAACTAAACCGGACTTCTCATGGGCAACTCAAATAGCAAAACAATGGAAGAACTTCATAGTTCAGCCTAGAATGTTATCTGTCCTCCAAGATAATCCAGTGATGATTCAGTCCCCAATGGAGGTCTGTGAGTATGAAAAAATCGATTTTGAGCAGAAGAAATCAAATGATGAAGTCATGATAAGGCTCAAAAGAGAGCTTTATGATGAGATATTAGAGTTTCAGAAGAAGAACTCAGGAACTGAAACACTGGCTGAGCTCATGAATATGAAGTCTCAGTGGAGCATTAACGGTCCAAAAATTCCGAAAATTACTGTAATTTTGAACCACTTCAAGAGGAAAACTCTTTGTGCTCAACTGAACTCACTGCTAAATCAGACACTTCCCTTCCATCATGTATGGGTTCTTTCTTTCGGGAGCCCAAATGAACTTTCATTAAGGAGAATTGTGGAAAGTTATAATAATTCGAGGATTAGCTTCATAAGCTCAAGCTACGATTTCAAGTATTATGGAAGGTTTCAGATGGCATTGCAGACAGAATCAGACTTTGTTTACATTATTGATGATGATATGATTCCTGGGAGGAAAATGCTGGAGATTTTAGCTCATGTTGGGGGTATAGAAAAGTATAAGAATTCTGTTTTGGGGAGCATTGGAAGGATCTTGCCATTTAGGCAGAAGGATTTTACTTTTCCAAGCTACAGAAAGTTCAGGACAAAGGAGACAGGGCTATATTTGCCTGATCCTGCCTATAACATCACAGTAAATAAGATAGTTCAGGTCGATTTCCTGTCTAGCTCATGGTTTCTATCTACTAATCTTGTCAAGACATTATTTGTTGAGACTCCCTTAACTTTCATGACTGGTGAAGATCTGCACCTCAGGTATAACACAATGAAATCTATTTTGTTATGTAAGATGAATCAGCTTCCTTCCTATTTAGATACGTTGATATAATTCACTTTACTTTATGGACAAGCATGCTTAATGGCTATTGAGAAAAAAGTTTTGATAAAGTTATTCTCGACCAAATTTAGGGTTCATTTGAGACAGTTTTTTCGGTGTTTGTCTTTTCAAACCATTGTCAGAAGTTTATTTAGCTATTCACTTATTCTGTTAAAATTCAGGAGAAAAGTTCATGAGATCTCATCTTAAGAGAGAGAGAGGAAGAGAGTCATAAATTTGGAGGGAATACAACAAAAACTTTATTCAAAATTTTCCCTAAATAATACATCTCAAAAGCATCATACTTATAGGAATTTACAGGAGTGTGATAACAAGCAGGAACAACCTAGTTAAAACTGGACCAACATCTCACATATTCACACCATATTGTTCATTAGATTTTGAGCTAATTTTGAGATTATTCTCTACCATGATTCACTTGTAATTTGCAGCTATCAGCTCCAGAAATACAGAAATGCAGGCTCATTTGTGCTACCTGTTGATCCAAATGACAAGGAAACATGGGGAGATAGTGAGCACAGGCTTGCTTATGTTTCTGAAACCACAGTTATCTTTAAGGATATCATACAGGTTCGAGATGATCAATGGTGGAGGGCGCTCTCCACCGGTTATATCACTCAATGGGCAGCCATGAACCCACAGAAGATAGATGCTCTCTTCTATGCTCATTCTATAGGAGAAGTGAAAGCTCTAGCCCCACTCCTCGAAAAATTTCGCTCCACGGTTGGAAGAAAGGCCTACATTGCTGTCTCTGGTGGTAAGTACTGCCCTTGTGAAGAAGCTACAGATGTTCTCAAATGGCCAAAATCTGTTTGCAAGGAGAGGAGGTTTAAGATCTTAGATTTGGAGATCGGATCTATTTCCGATGTGTCGAATTCAGAAGTTCCAATTATGCAAGCTGTGTACTCTAGCATGAAAGGGCTTGTTAAGATCCACAATCCAAGCCTTCTTATAACAGTAGCAGATATAGATGAGAATGTTAAAAATGCACTAAAAATGGCTTCAGAAAGTAGCTTGAACCACTCAGTACTTGTTCTTTTGCCTAGATCTGCTATAACTAAGGTTCTATGGATGCCTGATTTAAGACCTTCTGCATTGCCAAGTAATTACTCTTTCCCTTTGACTTGAACATGTTGATTTTTTTTTTTTTTCATTTATAGATTTGACTTATGTTAAAAAAGGTAGAGGTGGACTTAAAAAGATTTGGTTAGAAAATATTAAAAATGATCTTTCTTTATTAGATTTAAATGAGAATTTGACTTTTAACAAAACACAATGATGAAAAAGGACTCATGTAGCTGACCAACGTAGTGGGACAAAGGCTTTATGTTTTTGTTGTTGTATAACAATTTTACTTAAATGGAATTGTAATTTCAATATGGTTACATAGAAAAATATTTCAGAAAATAATGACTTTATTTTTTTCCATTCTGCGTGTGAGTAAATTCATCACATTCAAGTTTGAAGGAATTTGTAGAGTTCAAAATCATTGAAAATTTCCATTTTCCTACAGACTGGAACAGAATGAAAATCTCTGTCAACATCATCACCCAGAACCGTGCAAACTCTCTTCAAAGACTCCTTCTATCCCTCAAGAATGCATTTTATCTTGGTGATGAAATCCCTCTAAGTTTCAACATGGACAGCAAAGTTGATGAACCAACTCTTAAAGTTGTTGGATCCTTCCATTGGCCCCATGGACCCAAACACATACGAAGAAGGATCATCCAAGGTGGCCTCATTCGAGCAGTGAGCGAGAGCTGGTATCCTGCTTCTGATGATGACTTTGGTCTCCTTCTTGAAGATGACATTGAGGTCTCCCCTTACTACTACCTCTGGATCAAATACTCACTCCTTTCATTCCACTACGACCCCCAAATCTCTCTCCCAGAGCTATCTTCAATTTCCCTTTACAGTCCTCGCCTTGTCGAAGTTGTCAAAGAAAGGCCCAAATGGAATGCCACAGATTTCTTCAAGAAAATACATCCCAACACTCCTTATCTACACCAGCTCCCTTGCAGTTGGGGTGCTGTGTTCTTCCCCAAGCAATGGAGGGAATTCTATGCTTATATGAGCTCAAGATTCACAGAAGATGCAAAGCAAAACCCAGTTCAAATCCCCAAGTCAAGAACTAATGGCTGGCAGGCTTCATGGAAGAAGTTTCTGATTGATATGATGTATTTGAGGGGTTATGTGAGTCTCTATCCAAACTTCCCCAATCAAATGAGCTTCTCAACCAACCACATGGAACCTGGTGCTCATATCAGTGCAAAAGACAATATTCTGAAGCACAACAAGGAGGACTTTGAAGTGCCATTGATGAAGGATGATTTCACAAGGTTCTTGCCGTCGGGGAAGATGCCGCCGGCATCAAGGCTTCCAGTAATCAATCTGTTCAACCAGGCAATATCTTTGAAGGGGTTGAAGATGGCTGGAGCTAAGCTTGGGCAGGATATCATTAGCTGTGGAGAGATGGAGATTGTTGTGGCTGATCATGCCACAGGCTTGCCTAAAAATTGCTCAAAGTTCTAAACCATGAATTGTATTGTTCTTTGTCAATCATAGACTTCATTTTTTTTTAAATGTTTCTGATCATTTTATGTCACTTAATGATGCCAAAAGTGGCAACTTTCATTCTATTTGTGATTCACTCTTTCAAATGATTTATGCATATAAGCAATTGAGGCATGTTTGGCCAAATCCTATTTGAGTTGGAATTTGATGTCAAAAAGGATGAGTTTTTAAGAGGATCACATTAAAATCTTATTTTTTAACAGAGAGCATGAATTGATAAAATATTAAAAGATCGAGGTTGTTCTTTAAAGGGACAGTTTCTGCTCCTTGGCCTTCATGTAGCCAAGTTGCCCATTAAAGGGTGATCTGATCCTTTCTCCTAATCAATTTCCAACTAATTTAATTGAATAGATTAGTGTGTTTTCCTAACTATATTACATTATTAAGTAATTATTTTAATTATAAAATTTTAAAAAGGAGTGAACCAAGGAGCACAAGCTTCCCCTTAGATGGCCAATTTTGACACCCTCTCAGTGGTATAAGTAGTCACGCCGACTTATGAGTTGTGTTCGATGAGCTAAGGAGTCAAATTTGAACCAACCTTGACTTGATTTATTAGCTTGTGAGGCTGCTCCAACAAAAAATATTAATATAAAATACATTTAAATTAAATTAAATTAAAATTAAGAAGTTCAAGTATAAAGCTATTAAAAATATTCAAAAATTATATCTCACATTCCTATATTAAATAATTATTTTTTAAATTATTATTTATCTTCTAGTTTTTCATTCTTTTTATAATTTTATTGTAAGAACTACTTGAATCATAATTATTCTCTCTTTTGTTATAAACGTGCTAGTTACTCAAGCTCAAGCTAGAGATAACTCGAGCTCGGCTCTACTCGTTTACACCCCTACACCCTCTATATAATGGTTTCACATAATAAATTTATATATTTTGTAGAATATTGTGTGTGTGTTTTTTTTTGTACTTTTACTCTTGTAAACTTCTATACTCCTAGGGTACTAATATTTGAATTTACATTGTTATTGCTTGCAATCAGAAGTTTTAACAGTATAAATGCAGTAGTGCATACAAAATTTTAAGTTGCAATTGTTTCTTATATGACAAAAGATACTGAAGGCTTCATTTGGAATGACTTTCTTACTACTTCTTAAAGTATCTTACTTCGATTGGAACATCTTACAACTTCTTAAAGCAGCTTTATAGAACAAATTAAAAATTTTGTATTAAAAAGTTGCTTCAAGAAACAGTAAGAAAGCCGTTCCAAACGAAGCCTAATACTTCATTTGAAATAGCTTTCTTATTGTTGTGCTTTGCAGGCCACAATCATAATTTTTATTTGATCATTGCTTTTACATTGTTTTCAAAAAAAAAAAAATTGCTAAAAAATTATTTTCTACAACAACTTTACAAAATTACTTTCTTCATAGCAGCTTTACAAAGTAATAATAAAACTGTCTCAAATGAAATCTAGAATATTAAAAAAAAAAAATTATGATCTAGGAGCAATAATGAAATCTATAAAGCTTCTTACATACTACTATATGTCATTGTATTCCTTTATTGAGTGGTTCTCACAAACAAATAGTAACAATTTAACATGATGCGGACATTGCTATAATGAACAACCAGTCCACCCTCTAGGTTTGCTTAAATGAGAAGAAAGCTAAACAAGCTTCTTTCATCTTAGCTCTAATGAAATGGCTTTTTAATTTTCCTTCTTTGTTTAATTTGATTTCGTTTGGGATGACTTTCTTACTACTTCTTAAATTAATTTTCTAGTAAAAAAAATTTAATTTTTGTACTATAAATATGTTTTAAAAAGCAGTAAGAAAGTCGTTCCAAATGAAGCCTTAGTTTGCTAGCATGTGATTATGTTTTGTTATACATGTGAATAGGGGTGTTAAAATAGGGTCACAGGTCATGTTCGGGTCAAACCTGATATTGATCCGCTACTATTTTACAAGACCCAAACCTGGCTTGTTCTTGAAAACTGGTCAGAAAATGTAACCCAGACCTGATTCACCGGGTTGCCGTGTTGACCCGACACGTCACGAAACTACCTGCAACTTGCAAGATTTGGCCGAAGAAGCGTGCGAATGGGAGAAAGGCGAGCTAGCTGTTGTGATTTTATGACCCCACATGAAGGAATGTTGTCGAAACCTAGAAGGAGAAGTTTCCACAAATCCAACTCAAAGCCAAGCGTCGTCAATGGCACAGTGCAAGCGGAAGAAGAGGAAAAACAAACCTGCTAGCATAAGGGAAGGCGGCAGTGGCACGTCATCACGTCAAACGCGGTCATTCGACGAGACGAGGTCAGCACAGACGGGACGAAGATAGCGGCATAGGCCAGCGCGGACGTGACTCACGTGCGATATTCCCGGGTTAACACGGGTTGATTTTGGGTCTTCTAGTCAACTCAAACCCTACCCGATTTTATAAAACGCGTCAAAATCTCAAATCCAAACCTGACTCTTAAACCGGTTGTTCTGAACCTGATATTGATTTCGGGTTTCAGATCGGGTCAAATTTTGACACCCCTATATGTGAACATGTGCTTTGAAATTCTGCTAATTAAGCTGGAAGAATGAGATGTCACGGTTAAAAAAAGAAGCCTTTTTTGTTGATGATTGGTTGATGTTGTGTGAGAGCTACCAACTTCTGTTATAAATTAGAGGGGAAATACTTTGTTGTTGAATACAATATGAGCTATTTCTTGTTTAAAAAACAAAACAGTTAGTGCATGTGATGTTTTGGATACTGACAAGAGAGATGAAAATGAGGTTGAAAAAGAAGAAGAAGATGATGACTTGGTAGCTTAAATGATTATGTGATAGCAATTTCAAAGAGTAATTGCATGAACAGTGCTGCATTTATTTGTAGTAGCAGCGGTTTCAAAAGAATTTGAAAAAGATTGAGGTGTTCTGCAAGAAGCCTACTGCCATTTGAGCTATTGTAGAGTTCAAAAACAAGTTAGTTTGGTATGGCAGACGTCGAAGTTGGTCGCAAGTGCAGGGACAAATGCAAGGAAGGACCAAATGATCATAGTATGTATCATTCCAGACCTTTTGAAAAGGTTTTTTTTTTAGACAATTTTCTTATTATTTTGCAAAGCAGTTGCACAGAAAGTAACTTTTTAAGGCTTCGTTTGAGATTGCTTTTTTACAGCTTTATGAAGCAATTTTTTTAGTACAAAAAATTTTAATTTTTAAATTTTTGTACTAGAAAAATACTTTGAGAAATAGTAAGAAAGCCGTCCCAAACAAAACCTAAATCTCTTATTAAAAACAACTTTTTAGTATAAACTTTCTAGAAAGCTATCACAAACAAAGCCTTTTTGGGTTTTCTTAGTACTTTTTTGTAACAACTTTTTGCTCAAACTTTTTTTCGAAGTAACGAAAAAATAGCGGTAAAAAGCTATTACAAAATGAAGATTAAGGTTTTGTTTTGATGGCTTTTTTACTGTTTCTTAAAACAACTTTTTAGTATAAAAGTAAAAAAAAAATTGTATTAAAATCAATTTTAAGAAGCAATAAAAAAGCAGTCCCAAATAGCTTTTTATTACTTCTTAAAATAGAATTTTAGTATAACAATTAAATTTTTGGTACTAAATTTCTATTTTAATTGTTTTTTAAAAATTTTTAGTGCAAAAATTTAATTTTGGTACTAAAAAGTTGTTTCAAGAAGCAATAAAGAAGTCGTTCCAAAGGTGGCTTTCTTCTTACTTTTTAAAAAAGCTATTTAAGAAATTTTTATACTAGAAAGCTATTTTAAAAAGCAGTACGAAACTGTAGAAAGTATGGAACAGAGAGAAGGCAGAGCAGTAGAAGAGAAAGGTAAAAGAGAATTTCTATTATTGTTTAAACACCAACGGTACAGTTCTATATATAGATTTTAGACATCTGGTTACACAAGAGGCTATATAAGAACGTGAAATACAAAAGCTACATATTTATATCAGTTGTTTGTCTGTTGTACTCTAATACCCCCCGGCAAATTGATGGGTCTTTGCATGACACTCAGTTTGTTTCGAAGAGCTTGAAATTGAGGAGTAGACAAGGGTTTGGTGAAGATGTCAGCCACCTGATCAATAGTGCTAATCGGCAAAAGACGAATACTTCGTTGCTGAATATGGTCGCGAACAAAGCGGTGATCAATTTCTTGTTTGGTACATGCGTGAAACACCGGGTTGTTCGCTAGTGCTATGGCCGACGTATTGTCACAAAAAACGTCTGTGGGCTGATCTTGCGCAATGTCGAAGTCGGAGAGAATTCGGCGGAGCCAGATGGTGTCAGTGATGAGTGCAGCCAAGGATCGATATTCCGACTCGGTAGATGAACGGGCCACGGTGGTCTGTTTCTTGACTGTCCAAGATATGAGAGTATCACCGAGATAAGAGCAGTAACCGGATGTTGATTTCCTTGAGCTAGGATCGCCTGCCCTGTCAGCATCTGAAAAGGATTTGAGAGATAAGTTAGACTTGGATATAGGAATGCCAAAGTCAAGTGTACCTTTGAGATAACGAAGTAGTCTCTTGAGAAGGAATGTATGCTCGGGTAGAGGTTGATGCATATGTTGGGAGAGGCAATTGACGCTGTAGGAGATGTCCGGGCGAGTGAGAGTTAGGTATTGAAGTGAGCCTGTGATCCGACGGTATAACGAAGAATCCGAGAGTACGACATCAGGTTGTATGTTCGGCGGTACTTTAGTGCATGATGGATTTGCAATAGGCTTACAATCAGAGAGTTGAGCCAAGTGAAGTATGGACGTTGCGTAGGCTTTTTGAGATAGGAAATAGTTGTGAGCCGTGCGGTCTATCTGGATTTCGAGAAAAGAGTGTACATCGCCAAGGTTCTTCATTGCAAATTTGAGACTTAGTTGCTCCAGAATATGTTTGAGAACATCCGAGTTATTACCCGTGATAAGGATGTCGTCAACGTATATGAGAAGGAATATTGTGGTTTTCTGTTGGCGAAGGATGAGCAGCGACGGATCGGATGTACTATGAGAGAAGCCGAGTGAAACGAGATGAGAGGTGAACGTGTTATACCATTGTCGAGGAGCCTGTTTGAGGCCGTAGATGGCTTTGTGAAGTCGACATACGTGGTCTGGGTGTGTGGAGTCTTCGAATCCCTTGGGTTGATTCATGTAGACTGTCTCCGAGAGTTCACCGTGCAAAAATGCATTGGCCACATCAAGTTGGTGGACCGGCCAGTCATTGTGCAGAGCGATTGTAAGAAGAATACGGATAGTTGGGAGTTTGGCGACTGGACTAAACGTTTATGTATAGTCCAGACCGTACTCCTGATGATTTCCGAGAGCAACCAGCCTGGCCTTGTGTTTGGCAATGGATCCGTCGGCGTGACGCTTTGTGCGAAACGTCCATTTGCATCCTATCGTGGAGGATTGAGGAGGACGTGGTACAAGGCTCCATGTCCCTTGTTGTTGTAGAGCATAGAATTCAGCGGCCGTGGTGTAAAACCCCCTCCAAAGCTGATTTTTTTAGTGCAGTTAGTCCGTACGAACTGGATTTAGTACGGGACGAACTGAAGAAAATTGTGAAGAATCTGTCAATTTCATCTGTACGAACCTGGAAGGGTCGGGACGATCCGTCTGGACGAAATTTGTTCAGAGAGCAAGTCGTCCGGACGCTATTTAATTTCGTATGGACGAAATTCTGCCCGAGGGCAAATCGTCCCGGGACGAATTTTGGATCGTCCGGAACAATCAGTGTTAATAAATATCCGATAGAGATATTTTGGATTCATTTGAAGAGAGAGAAAGAGAAATTAGGAGAGAGAAAGAGAAGGAAGAGAAGGAAAAGCTTGGTTTTGGAGCCCACAGAGCGCTTTTCGTCCGACGACGCAGTTGGAAGATTTGTTTGTCTCGCAGTAAGGACTCCGAATCCTATTTCTGTTTTCAAAGATTTCGAGTTTTGATATTTCTATGCTCAGTTTTGAGTTTCTGTTACCGAAAAACACGTATAATTTTGTATTGACGAAAGTTTTACCGCACTACTTTTGATATGTTTCTGAGATGCTTATTCTGCACGATTTGAGTATTTTCTATAAAGTTTTTACCGGGTATTTTGAGTTCTGTGCGATTTTTATCGAATAGATCATTATCAAGATGTTGAAAAATATTGCTTACATGTTCTGTGGTAATTTGGTAAAGTTCTGAATCTGTGATTTCT